TAGCAGGGTCGGCATAGCTGCCTATTATCAACCCACCATTTTAAGAACCAACTCTTTTTTCTTTAAACAGGGACATTTGCGAGCAATCTGTGAACTCCAGAAGGATGGGAATATACGTGGAAAATGAAAAGGGACAGAGCTTTGCATAGATTAAAAGTGCCTTCCTGTTGAGCTCCAGCATAGCTGATAAAATAAATCTGAAGCATACATACCGTTCCTGTATTGACAGACGTGTCGCTGAACTGACCAGCCTTAAAAAAAACCACGACTGATACTGTTCACCGTTCGAACTGCAGATACGTGTAATCATCTGTCACTGGCCGGACGCCAAACCGATAATATTCCGCATTCTGAACTTAGCATAGTACAAATAAAAGGAAGTCAATCCACAGGCAGTTAACGACACTAAAGTAACTACTTCCCGTCACCAACAACATGAGATCTAGATGCCGACATGCTTGTATGTAGAGACTCTTCTCTACCTGATATGGCGACGAATTTCTTTTATTCTATTCTTATCTTCCCTCTTTCTCTGATTAGGAAATGTGGGTGCCTTATTCCTCAGTTTAACACCTTAACATCAGTATGCAAGTTCAGTCGCAAATGTTCGCCATGCATTTCCTGTGGCACTTACAGGGAGAATTTGAAAAAAAATCAAGAGCTTATTAAGTCGCACGATCATTTCCGGCCATTATTCTCATGACCTAGATAGCTGATTGATGAGGTGATATTGTTGGAAGAAACTAGATGCGTATCGCTCTTAGATCGTTAAAGGTTGAAGCACCCAAGCCTGAATGTTAATTTTTTTCCCCACGTTTGAGCTTGATGACTTATTCTTCGATGTGCTGTCTTCCGTGAAGTGTTTACATCAACCTCACGAGTTTCTCGGTCAGTTTTTAATAATAGCAGTCTCCCAAAAGAAACATCTGGTTAGCTTAGAAAGCCCTGAGGACGGGGTTGGTGTTTGCATCGACTTAAGAAGGATTCGTTCTAATAGGCAACGAGCTATGCAAATAGTTGCTCCAAAGTTTCGGTTGAAATCAAAACCACAGAAATTGATACTGGGATGGAAGTTTCCCAGCAACTTTGTAACTTTCTTTTATTTGGTGGCCCTTCAAAGTATCATTATAGCCTACCCAACTAAAAAAAAAGCCAAAACGAAGTGAATAATGCCAAAATTCAGAGTTGTCTCAGCTTAGGTCATTGTTAGTTATCGCATCTTGTTTGTGAACAAGACATGGACGACGGACGCAACCGTTTGGAAAGGGAAAGAACGAGAGACGCGAACCAAGTCGGCAAGCGCTAGCCGAGTATAACCATCGATTTTAACTTTTTTTACTCGAAAAAGCTTCATCGCTATTTACATAAGCATCAAGTATCGATTACGCACGTAACCTTCAGAAAAAGGCCTTGACTCTTGCTAATTTATTCATGTGCATTTATGGCTCTAGAAACAAAAAAATAGAAGCGACATAGCTCACTGAGCAAGCGATAGAACTGGTAAGTTTTCGAGTACCGCCACTAGTCGATGAACAAAAAACTTCCCGCCGCGCGACCTCGCGCCAACCGCTTCTCGTGTTTCAGCTCACTGCTTGGGATTTCAAGTTCGTACATTTAATAGAGTTTCAATAAAGGAAAAACCTAAGGCCCAAAAATTTTCAAGTAAGACTGCATCATGAATATCCGCCTTCACAGGGCCTCCATCGTCAGAAGAAACACTTGAAAACTTCTGGTACTGTTTACCACTCACAACTGAAATGAAGAGGGTTACCTTTACGTAAGGGGACGTAAATCAGACAATTTTCCATATTCTTGAATAAGAAGATCTCAAAGAAAAGGATATCTGACAGTAAAATGCATTCAAACAAGTATGAACTTTCCTTCTAGAATCACGAGAGAAAGCTTTCCCTGTTCCCTTTTAGTGATTCCATCATCTGGCACCTGTAGCACAGCTGAGTTACGGTTCAAATTTCTCGTCAAAATCAGCCTAAATTTTCGTTTTCATACTTGTCAGTATTTGCTACCCTTACCTATCCAGAACTTTTATGGGTGTGCCTTTGCGTAATTTGGTGTTTTGTCCCTACGAAAAGGTTACTTTTGGATAACATCGAAATATTAAAAAAATGGAAACCTTTTAAAAATTCTACCTGCTTTTAGAAAAGGAAGATGCGAAAATAAAACGGTTGAAGTTCATCTAAATGTCAAACAATATTAATGAAACAGGAAACAAGGGTCACAAAGAAGTGATTGTTCCTTCCGGTTAAATGGGTTTGCGGATGGCTCCTATAGCTTCCTTTCTGATGCTGTTATGATTGAAAACCATAATAAGTGACTTGGTATTTGCCATTTCGGAAACCAAACAGGTGGAATAGAATGCCACGAGGCGAAATAGTACTAACAGTGTGTTCGAATAAGCAATTTTGTTCCATGTCCTTTCATCATTCAGAGATATAAAAGCGGTTGTTACATTTCAATGCGATTGTTCGGTCAACCGTACAGTCTCATCATTTCATTAAAAAATTCAAATCGTTTCACTATCCTGAGGATTCATAGCGAGATATTTCAAGTCTTAGAAAACTCTATCTTTTTATCAGAATTTGAACAATACTTTTGGACGTTATAGATTATCAGCGGCTCAGTTTTTAGCGCCAGTGGGACAGTACACGTCACGTCCTTGTAATTGAACAGCACGCTTCATTTACAGGCGTCATTTGCATCGGTAATTATTGTCTTTATTTGTGTATCTGTTTAAACTTCTGGTATTCTGTTTCTCGATTTTTGTCAAAGCTTTGATTAACTGGTAATAGGACTTTGTGTCGCCCGATTCTACTTATAATCATACTCCTGATTGACAGGTCAGATTTTTATAATCACAATTTATTACAAAATTGATCATATGCGATTAGCGTCTTAGTTTAGCTGCTTTATTTCCCATTGATTATTCTGTCGAGTTGTCAAAATCGGACAGTGTAATCTGTACTTATGTTTGTGCATGGATTCGTCGATGTTCAAGCAAAACAGCTTGACTCTGCCAAGGTTAGATGATATTTTCTGTAGGAAAGCTTGAGGGAATATTTTGTTGAATTACATGTGACACAACGGCAAAATGGGTGCGCATCCTTGTAACGCGCGAAAATTATACGTGCGCAACCGAATTGGAACGACAGTATTTATATAGTGAACAGTATAGCGGCAAATTGGCGGCATTATTAAACTTTCCATTGTTCGTTTCCATTTTGTGGAGATAAGCTAAAAGCATAACAGATAGGCTATCCGTTTTCAGGAAAGTCTCTAACAGGCGTAAATTTAGGGACTGAAGAGGAGCGTCCGTAACATGGCTACTAAGTTCGTAGCGACTGCTGTCGCTTTAGCTGTCTAGTTAATTTCAAAAATAGTTAAAAGAATGCTACACACCGCAGACCTTTCTCCTTACAACAAACTTTATCACTTGTCCTCTTGGTTCGTACTATAACAGTCCAAATAAAGGGGAAAACGATGTTATTTCCTTTCCCCGACAAAGTTTATTCACGATAGAGTCATAAAATGCTCGGTAAAAGCTCCAAACTCGGTGAGCTTGCGCACTCATTTTGCCGCCGTGTCATTGCATGTGAGATACAGTGTCACAGACTCATCGGAAACAATGACTTTTTAAAGCGACGTTTAAACGATCTATTTGCCTACAATATGAATGAACACAGGATTTATAAATGAACAATTAAGTGACTGACTCACCCAATCACTAGTTTAAATAAACTGGCACTCAATCTACCAATTGATTGAATGAGTGCATCAACGAATGAATGAATGAATGAATGCATGAATAGATGGATGGATGGGTGAATAAATACATGAATGGACAAACGGATGAAGGAATAAATGGAATAATGGATGTAAGAATTAATAAATCTATGGATAATTGAATGAAGCAATGAATAAATTGATGAATGATTATTTTAATAAAGCGAGAGATACTACAACTGATTAAGCTTATTCAATGTATTTGGTGACCATGGTTACAGCACTTTACTTAGTTCATTCTCGGTTGCAATCAGTCCTTTGAATAAAGAAAAAATGTCAATCAGGGATAATAAATTGATCTGATACCAAATTCTCCGAAATAACATCATGAGAACTGTCTGGCAGACAGTTAGGAGAATTACTAATGAAATCTCGGGAGTGAAAGGGCTAGCTACATACACACAGACTATCAGTTGAGTCACAATTACACTTCAAGGACATCGTGGTTATCTTTGAGAAAGTCAGCAGCTTCCGCTTCCACGCGTGCTCGGAAGCCTTCACGAGGATAAGCAGAGAACATTAAAGGTGTGAAGAATTGATTGGCTGCGGAGTGATTCGGGAACTTGTGGCACAGGAACTCAGACAAACCGCTCAGGCAGGACTTTTTGTTACAACATGCACAAAAAATTAGAAGGTCAACTTGTCGACGTCCTCTTCTTTCAGATATGGGCTATTCCCCCAGTAACGTTTCTCGAGATGGAGACCAAGCTCTTCCCAGGTTTTGACCTCGCTGTTTTCACCTTTTCGTGGATCTCTTTGCCGAATCAATAAAATTTCACCTTCACCAACTTTGTGGCTGTTTTCGTAATATTCGACTTTAAATCTAATGGAAAAAAGAAGCAATGAATAGACAATTTATTGTATTGAATTCAAGAGCTTGTAATTTTCATTGTATTTTATGCCATTATAGCAGTTTTGCCACAACGGTAATTTTTCTGTCGTGAAGAAATTCTTCTTATCTTAAAAGAGAAAACAATCTATCACTTCGACAAGATAAAAAACTTGGAAAGAGGCAGTAGTATACCAAAAAGGAACGACGCTCGCTGAAGAGGATTGCAAATGACAAACTCGATCCTAAGCATCTCCCGATACGCAAACGGTAATGTGGATCAGATAATCAAGAAGAGACTCGCTATCCCAAAGCAATAGAGAATATTGGGACCTCATTCTCTCTTGCGCTAACTCAAGACCATATTCCCCACTAAATCGCACTAGGCATACCCTGTTTCAATTCTATTTTACTCTGTATATCTCGGACCCTTGATTTGCCGCTCAAAAGTCCGGGGCTTTCCCTGATTGAGGGTTAGAAGGCGTCGGTAGATTCAGACCTGCTTAAAGCGGAACTCGACGACAAAGAGGAGATGGTAATAAATTAAGGAGTAGCTACATAGACACTTACTTGAAATGTCGCGGCTTTTTCTCTTCTTTCTTCTTTCTTTCTTCTGGTTGAAGCTTCACGAAGTTCTCCAACAGGTCTGAAATGACGTCACGACCACCCTGGCCAATAAAGGAACAGTTCAGCTCTCTGCGAGCGAGCATGAGTGCTTTCAGTAGACTTTCTCCAGACTCCTTCTCATTAGGATAGTAACCACCATCCACCACAATAATTTTCTTGAGTTTCTTCTTTAACAATGGTAGAATACCAAGATTTTCCACGTAGCCTCCATCACTGAGTAGCATCACGGGAGGAGGTATGGGTCCGATGTTGCCAATGGAAAGGCTATCTTTAGCGTACTTTACAAAGGACACATGCACAACGAACCACCTTGGAAAACAATATGATAGGTATAAAAGGAGGTAAGTTTCTACATAAACTGTGGTACTGCGTTGGTCGGAGGTATTACAAGATGATTTGGTTTTATCTGATGATGTATATTGGCCACCGTAAAGAGTTCCTAAACCTGACGTTAGTCCATCATCATAGGGAAATATGTATGCAGAAGTAAAGGGTATCTGACAAACAGTAGTTTTCAAACTTTGAGTGACAGTGAACTTTACCCTTCACCATGATTTGAGAGGACTCAGGTCGTATGGGGATTCACAAAGAAAAAAAAAAGCATATGATCATGGGAAGCTTTCATTACACTCAGCTTCCAACTAGGATTAACCTGGTAACTAGTTTTTAGGCATGGACTGTTTGGATTTCTTCATCTTGCCATCATTGAGAACGATTTCAATGGAGCGTTAAAAGAATACCACGACTCCATTGGTTTTACTTAAAATTCTGGATCACTATCTGAACCAATCAGTTGTAAAACTAAGGAAGACAAATTTTTGTCCTGCTCATTTTCTTGTCCTCAGGTCGGTTGCACTGAAAAATTTACTATGAGTCTTCATGGCGGGCTCCTTCAGATATTTCGTTTAGTTCATCTTAGCATCCAGTCAGATTTAAAACTAAGGAAGACAAATTTTGTCCTGCTAATTTTCTTGTCTTTGAGGCCGGTTGCACTGAAAAATTTACTATGAGTCTTCATGGCGGGCTCCTTTAGATATTTCGTTTAGTTCATCTTAGCATCCAGTCGAATTTAAAACTAAGGAAGACAAATTTTGTCCTGCTCATTTTTCTTGCCTTGAGGCCGGTTGCATTGAAAGATTTACCCCGGGTCCCCACGGGCTCGTTCAGATATTTTCTTTTGTACAGATCAGCATCACTGATTATGAGTATTTTGGTTTCGGTCTATCGACACACCATGGTAATATACTTAGATTTACACAAGCTTTACCTCGCTATCTTATCCCATGAGCTTGGGTCCTGAACTCCTGTGTCAGCGAGAGCTCCAATGAAAGCCAACACCAGGTGAATTGCAAAGAATGTGAATACTCCAGCTTTAATTGACTCCTCATCCCCTTCATTACAGTAAACCGCTGGTACGGCGGTCAATGGAAGACCACGGAGAATATTGATGAGAATTGGGAGAAGCTGTTGTAAGTGAAAAAGATACACGAAAGCCTGCGTTATTAATCGGTGATAGAATCCAGAGAGTCCCTTACTATTATTGTTCAGCATGATATGCTCTTTCCAAGTGAGTATCGTGCTTAGGGGAGACCGGTCATTATCGATGACGGGGTGGGGGGAGGGTGACTTGGAAGATTTTGGTTGTGTCATACTAAAATTTACCAGATCCTTCCATATGGCTCTTTCATATTTCTATGATCCTCTTCTTATTGGCAGTTAATTGACAGGGCAACCTCTTACCTTCATGAACCATGACTCTTCTTTAATTGCCTTGAGGTTACTGATTCTTGAGGCTCCCATTTCGAGTCCAAGAATCGTGGAAAGGCGCAATACTTGGGGGTTATTTCCGTACCCGGAAATCGCTGCTGCAGAGGTCGCCATGGCGTCTGATAACTCTATATCTCCAGGGCTCAGTTTACCCTCAAATGCATTGTCAGCACATGGATCTCGATCTAAACGCTCTATCGTGGTAGGTGACATTGTTAAGACGTCATCATCCGTATCAGAATTGGCATCTTCCTTCCAGTTGTGGAGAGTCATGTTTGATATATATTCAGGCTCCATGCCTTCGAGATCTGCCAGGGTCAAAGATCTTTTTTGAGCTGGCTCAATACCGTTGGGCAAAGCATGAAAGGTGTCTCTCTGATCTCTATAGCGGAACCATGTTTTCCGTTGTCTCTCCAGATATGTCCCGAAAGGACTTAAGAGTTCGCGGAGTACTTCCAGCCATCCCTTACCTGAACTTTCCTTTGAGTAAAATGCCTTCTGAAGTCTCCATCTGCAAATTGGCAGAGTTAAAAGTGATTCAGTGAGTTATCATCTCATTGTCACATTCTGCGGATAAGGGAGACGCGGTGGCCTGGTAATAAGTGTACTAGACTCTGGGTCGAGAGGTCTGGTTTCGAGACCTGGCTAGGTCAGTGTGTTGTGTTCTTGTACCAAACAATCTACTGTTGCGGTGCCTCTCTCCACCCAGGAGTCTAAATGAGTACCGGCGAATTTTCAGGGAAGCTTGATGAAATTCCTGGGGTAACCTTACGGTGACCAACATCTCTTCTAGGGGTGTAGTAATACGCCTGGTTACTTCATGTTAAGGAAACCGAGATACACTTTAGCTGGGTGGGCCATTTGTCTCGAAAACAGACTTTACCTTTCCATTCTACGGAGAAGATATTACTGTTTTGAGTCTTACCTGTTGAAGACATGGATGAGCCTCGTCCGTGATTAAAGGTCAGAGTAAATAAATAAAATACAGTAGTAAGATAAAAGGAGTATGTGGCTAAACTAAGCAAATTCTAACCCGAAAAATCACTACAAAAATACAAATGGAAACAACTACATGCTAAGCTTAGGGCTCAAACAAACATAAAATACTGAAACATACCAAAAGCTAGTATAGCTTAGAATCCGCTTTAAGGGCGCTCTTGGGAAGTTTCCTAAGCAGTCAAGAAGCTAGAGTCGCTCTCGGCTATCGCCTCGAGCGACTCTTACGCTTCTTTCGTGCTTAGCAACCTCCCGCGTGCATCCATAACTCAATAGTGTACGCTGTTGTGTTTACAATTTGTTAATTCAAAACTTCTCGAAGGGGACTGTTAAAAGGAAGAGTTGGGAGATATTGTGCTTTCTTGTAGATCAAATAATTTAGGTTTAGGGGCGATAATTTTTCGTAGAGGGGTCTCCCTTTTTGACTGCCAGCGACAATCGATGAAAGCAGGGTCGGCATAACTACCAATTGTTAGCACACATTTTTAAGAACTACTTCTTTTTTCTTTAAACAGGGACATTTGCGAGCAAACAGTGAACTCCAGGAGTATAGGAATATTATGTGGAGAATGAAAAGGGACAGAGCTTAGCATGGACTGAAAGTACCTTTCCCCTGAGCTCTAGCGTAGCCAATAAAATAGACCTTAAGCAGACATACCGTTCCTCTTTGCTGTCGTCTGCTTTCTTCTCTTTTCTGTATTTCCAATCTAGAAAGGCCGTACCTGTGTAGCCACCCCCTGACACGCATCTCAGGTAGTCTACCTTTGCTTTACTCTGGAGCAATCTACGTAGGACCCAGAACATAACGCCGCTGACCGAATGCCACCACCAGAAAAAGCTAAACCAGTTTTAGTAGTCGCCATGTTGCCTGAAAGATTAAAAACTTTTTATTAGTTCTAAACACCAACAGAACCGTAGCAGATTTTAGATCCAAAGTTATATGATCTACGCATAGTATCAGTTTAAAACTGCTGGTTGAAAGAGCTTATCCCCTCGTCTTTACACAAAGAAAAAATTTCTTCCTTAATATATTTGCATTGCAATGATTTCCGTGTGGCTTATTAAAAATATTATACTTTTTGGTTTAAAATTCCTCACTTACGTCGAGCATACGTAGCGTCAAATTGTCATTGCACTAAACGAAGTACCTGTTCGTCTTCATTCCAAATTCATACGATACCAAACACTTCTTTGGGTTGAGTTGAACTTTCTATTTCAATCAGTGACAAACTATCAGAAGAATGACATAACTCGAGGAAATTGCATAGCGTGTTAGCCCTTTAACTTCCAAAAGTGTTTAACATGTAACCACTCCCAATGATATCCATACATTATCCAGGAAACAGGTAATAAGAATACTATAACTCGTCAGGTAGCTTTTATCCTGATCTAGCACCGAATACTTTAA